CATTATTCCCTTATATAAATTTGTAGGATGGTTGAAACACGCTCTGGTAAGATGCAAGACCCAGCAGAGGAGAGAATCATGGCTGAAGAGTCTGCCAAGCGGCAACCTGGTGCAACAATTGGTAGAGATGCTAGTTCCGACCCAGTTGTCCTGAATCCCAACATCGACATCCCCAAGTATGATGGAACGGAAGACCCTCGCCCATGGATTGAATCTCTTGAAGAAATTGGCTTCCTGTACCATTGGGCAGACTACATTATATCTCGTTATGCCGCCATGAACATGACGGGAAGCGCTAAAACCTGGTTGAATTTACACAAAGCTAGTTTCACGAGCTGGGAAAATATTAAAATCCGCCTCATTCAGGATTTTTCTTTGGACGCGAATAAAGAAGAACTTAGAATGAAGCTCAACAGAATGCAACACTGGAATGAACCAGCAATCAGGTTCGCGGAAGACATTCTAGTGTTGTGCAACAAGGTTGACCCCGCAATGGAAGAAGAAACAAAAATTGAACATGTTATTGGAGGACTGAAAAAAGAGTACTCATTCGCGCTCTACCTGAACCCTCCTAAAACGACCGATGACCTTCTTGTCGTGTGCAAGAAAATGGATTATTTTGAAAAGAAGTATCGGGAACGTGTGGAGAAATCCAGAAACCTATATAACGGTCCACGCTATTCTAGACCCCAACAACAATCGAGGTACGTGCCGCCGACTGCCGCACGAAACTTCCAGACCACTTCCAGGCCCCAAGCCCCTGTTTTCAATAATTACAAGAACGACTCCCCTCCTACTCCCAGACAGTATCGAAACAACTTTCCCCAGCCCTCTACCCCTAGACGTCCTTATAATCCTAACTTTGTGCCGGAACCAAACCTTCAGAGAAACACCTACAATAAAAGCCAAGAAGTGAGCAAAAATAGGACGGAAGATGGAAGACCAATCTGCTTTAAATGTAACAAGCCAGGGCACGTGGCCCGTTATTGTAGGGTCAAGTTTATAAGAATCCTAGAAGAGGATCCAGCAGATACCCAAGAGAAGGTAGAAGAGAAATGCCAAATGAATGAAATATCAGAGAAATCAGGACCTCGGCTTTATGCTGATGTATGTCATAGCACACAGACAAATATTCCTACCCGGAATAGATATTCCGTGTTGGAAGATTTAAACTAAGCGTCGCGCCTGAATCTGTCAATCAAAGCAAGTCGACCATAAACGGAATCAAGAAGTCGGACCCTAAATACAAATTAAAAATTAATGTGGACAAGATAGGGACTTTTGAAGCTTTGGTTGATACAGGTGCTGACCTCTCAGTGGTCGACCTCAGAACGGCCCTCGATACAGGCCATGGTATAAGTCAACTCGCAAAAATTTGTGCAGGACCCGATGGAAAAAAATTGGACATGGTAGAAAGTATATTTTTAAATATAAAAATTGATGACGAAACATTATCACACAACTTTGTGATATTGAAAACGCATTTACGGACATTAATTCTTGGGAGAGATTTCCTTAAGAAAATGAACGCAAAAATAGATTGTAAGCAAGAAACTATAAAATACGATTTGACGAATAATCGTGACGAAATCAATTTTGAAATGTTGAAAATAAAGAGTGCCAAGGATTCCATTGTACCGGAATGTTCCATTAAATTGATCAAGGCATTGGTAGAAACAGAGGATGGAGAATATATTATCGAGGAGAGCAGCAAAATGTTTCAAACAAATGGACTTCGTCTAGCAAGAAGCTTGATCAATGTTATAAATAGGGAAACACAAATCTGGATAACTAATCCGTATCCTCGACCGTTAAAAATAATGAAAAACCAAACATTGGCTTTTGGAAGTAGTCCAGCGAAAATAAATGTGAGTCGAGAAAGAGAGGTAGAAGAGAACGAAGAACCTAGATTCCAAATAAACGAAAATCTTTCACCGAAGGAACAGAAGGAGTTAAAACAAGTTTTAGAAAGGTATGGAGATCTTTTTTCGTCGAGATTAGGGAAAACCAATTTGGCAAAACATCGGATAGACACAGAAGACGCGAAGCCAATTAAACACAAGCCTTACCGGGTAAGTGCTAAAGAACGAGATATTATAAAAGAGCAAATTGACGAGATGCTTACAGAAGGCATAATTAGGCCATCTTCTAGCCCCTGGTCTTTTCCAGTTATATTGGTCAAAAAACGAGATGGCAAATACAGATTTTGTGTGGATTACAGGAAATTAAATGAAGTAACAGTGAAGGATGTTTATCCAATCCCAAGAATTGATGATGTAATGGATTCTCTCCAAGGATCCAAGTACTTCTCAGCAATAGATCTCAAATCGGGATATTGGCAAGTCGAAATTGAAGAGAGAGACAAAGAGAAGACGGCTTTCACTACGGCACATGGGTTATATGAATTCAACGTGATGCCTTTTGGACTTTGTAACGCGCCTGCTACCTTTGAGAGAAATATGGAGAATATGCTTGGAAATCTGAGATGGCAAATTTGTTTGTGTTATCTGGATGATGTTATCATATATAGCCCGGATTTTCCAACGCACCTCAAAAGACTCGAAGCTGTTTTTAGATGTTTTCGTGAATCTAATTTAAGATTAAACGACAAAAAATGCCGATTTGTTTTTGAAGAATTGGAGATTCTCGGCTATATAACGAGCAAACATGGTATAAAACCCGCGGAACATAACATCAAAGCTATCAGAAATTTTCCTCGGCCCACAAAGGTCAAAGAAGTACAATCATTTTTGGGAATGTGCTCATATTATAGAAAATTTATCAAAGATTTCTCAAAAATTGCTGACCCTTTGACCAACCTTATTAAAAAAAGTGTATCATTTACCTGGACAGAAAGGCAAGAGGAAGCGTTTCAAACCCTAAAAACAGCACTATTAAGTCCACCAATCTTAGGGCACTTCAATCCAAATGCGCCTACTTATATTCATACTGATGCGTCCAACATCGGCATAGGTGCAACACTGGTCCAAATTATCTGTGGGGAAGAGAAGGTGATATCATATTTGAGTCGAACTCTAAGTAAAGCTGAGCAAAATTACTCAACCACCGAAAAGGAATGTTTGGCTGTGGTGTGGGCGATATCAAAACTACGACCCTACCTATATGGAAGACACTTCAAGATAATTACAGACCATCACGCATTGTGCTGGCTGAAAAATCTTAAAGATCCAACAGGTAGACTTGCAAGGTGGGCACTGAAAATTCAGGAATACGATTTTGACATAATACACAAATCGGGTAAAAAACATATGGATGCTGATGGCTTATCTAGAGGACCCCTACCTGAAACGGATTGGGTCGAAGATTATGAACGACTATTTTTGAATCATATAATAAATGAAGAGGATGAATTCATAGAAAATGTTAATAAAAGCCTTAAAGGAAGCAAACGAGCAATCACACAGAATTTTAAAGAGGAAAATGGATGTCTATATAAGAAGAACCCAAACCCTGAAGGCAGAGCATGGTTGCTGGTAGTGCCGAAGAAGAGAAGGAAAGAAATCATGAGTGAATTCCACAACCATATGCTGAATGGCCATCTAGGCGTCGCCAGAACCACATACCGCTTGAAGAATAAATATCATTGGCCTTCCATGCTGAAAGATGTTTCAGAATTTGTAAAGACGTGCCATCTTTGCCAAAGTCGGAAAGGTTCAAATCAGTCGCCCTCTGGACTTTTGCAACCCATTCCCCCAGCTAACTACCCTTTTGAAAGAATCGGGATTGACTTTGTTGGTCCCTTGCCATCAACGAAAAGAAGGAGGAAGTGGATAATTGTGTTGACTGATTATTATACCAGGTACGCTGAAACAAAGGCAGTCTCAGAAGCAACAGTGAAAGAAGTCTCTACATTTTTAATCGAACAAATTTTTTTACGTCACGGGGCCCCAAGGTTTCTTATTAGTGACAGAGGTTCACAGTTCACTAGCAAGTTGATGAAGGAGGTTATGAAAATGTGCAAAGTTAAACACTGCTTCACGACGAGCTACCATCCCCAGACTAACGGACTAACGGAACGGCTAAATAGAACTCTAATCAACATGATAAGCATGTATGTAAATACAGACCAGAAGAACTGGGACGAAATCTTCCCTTTCGTCACCCACGCGTACAATACCACGATTCAAGAAACCACAGGCTACTCTCCATTTTTCTTGTTATTTGGGAGGGAACCCATGTCCCTCTTAGACGACGATAATATCCCAATTGACAGTAACATGAACGATTATGACGAATATATAGAAAATTACTTGGATAAAATAGCAAGGACGAGACAGGTAGTCATTAACAACACAGAGAAGACTCAGGAAAGAATGAAGAGAAACTATGACAAAAAAACACAACGAGAGAATCTATGAACCAGGACATTTAGTGGCAGTTTGGACACCAGTCAGGAAAATCGGAAAATGTGAAAAACTATTGAGAAAATATTTTGGCCCATATCGAATATTAAAGAAGCTGTCTAACGTAAATTACTTAATCGAGCCGAAAGATAATTCTGGCCAAGACCCATTGATTGTCCATGTCTCAAGACTCAAACCCTATTTTGAGAGAATTGATGAGGTAACTCACGAGGACGTGACGACCTCTGGAGAGGGGGAAGTGTTACATCATGATTAATGGCGTATTTCTTATATTATTTTTAATATATTTGAAATTTAAATTATATATTTATTTATTTTTATATTCTATGATATTTATTTAAAACAGATTATTTAGATTATCATCATTTGTATTTAGGTACACGTGTGACTTCACTGCTCTCTTTGATGTGAGAAGAAAAATAGAGGATTCTGGAGGCTACTTAAAGTAGACTTATCTCATTATTCCCTTATATAAATTTGTAGGATGGTTGAAACACGCTCTGGTAAGATGCAAGACCCAGCAGAGGAGAGAATCATGGCTGAAGAGTCTGCCAAGCCGCAACCTGGTGCAACAATATCTTACTATGTTCTAGCTTGATATAGATTTTTGCATATGCCTGGCTAGCTCAGTCGGTAGAGCATGAGCCTCTTAATCTCAGGGTCGTGGGTTCGAGCCCCGGTTTGAGCGTTTTTTTTTCCCCGGGTAGTTGGCGTTCTGCACTCCCTGGGTTAAAAATATATTCATGTTCTTGCTTGTTATTGATATTTGCATGGGCCCGGCTAGCTCAGTCGGTAGAGCATGAGACTCTTAATCTCAGGGTCGTGGGTTCGAGCCCCACGTTGGGCGTTTCCCCCCCCCCCCCCCCCCGGGTAGTTGGCGTTCTACGCTCCCTGGTTTATAAATATCTCTCTATGTTCTAGCTTGCTATAGATATTTGCATGGGCCCGGCTAGCTCAGTCGGTAGAGCATGAGACTCTTAATCTCAGGGTCGTGGGTTCGAGCCCCACGTTGGGCGTTTTTTTTTTTTTCCGGGTAGTTGGCGCTTTGCGCTCCCTGGGTTATAAATATCTATCTCTCTATCCAGAAACCACTGGAAGCTTCTGTTCCATACATCCAGGCCATCAATCATCTACAGCTGTGCTATAAAACAGACGGGAGGTCTCACTATCCAAGTTGGCAGAACGTAGCTCAGCTTCGGTAAATCTGAAATGCCGTAAACGTCAACCCCACCAGGAAGGGAATCGATTTTTCCCCCTCACAACCAAAACGGCTCAAATTGCATCTAGACACGCTTTCCAGGACAGTTCTACATTCATCAAGCTTATTCATATACTAATATCGTGTATATATCTATATAATATTGTAACGAAGAAATAATTTATTTAATTTAATTATTCAATGAAAATATTTGTAAACAGATTTATTATTTGTAAAATCATCATTTAGTTACCTAGCTTGCTTGCTCGATATTCTCTAGCTGTAGATAGTTGGGTTGATTTGTTAATATTTGTCGACTAGTCGCCGTGACGTCATCAATAAATACTTTCAAACCTTCAGATATACAAAGACTTGATTTCTACGCTACAATATATAGTGTATATATCTAATTATAAGGTTGTCCCTAAAATTCGTGTTTTTTTATTACTTGGCGAATAATATTATTACGGCGAATACATATACAACAACAACAACAAAAAGGCTTTTTTTAGGGCCCATTGCCCTGTATGGATTCGCCATACAACAACAAAACAATACAGTAATTCCTCTCCCTTTCCCCATGTGCACGCGAGTCTTTGTTTGAAAATGGATTTATTTACACATCTGTTCTAAAACTTTCCTCACTACCTCTTTTGTGTATGAATCTATTTACAATTGATCTGTAGAAATTATAGAGTTCTATTGCTATATTTTTATTTTCTGAAATAGTTCTCAGCATCTGTAGTGGGTTGCTAAATCTCCAAAGGTGTTTTAAAGAGTTTTTCCTCTTTCTTCACCTAAATATTTGCATTCTATGATAGGGTGGGAGATTTCGTCAGATATCAGATTTCCACATATCCTGCAGTGAATGTTTTCCTTTTTGATGATGAGAATATGACTTTCTCTATCTAGAGTTGAAGTAATTCTAGTCGAATACATATACAAGTTAGTAAAAGAAAAAAAGGCATCTCCTTATCGAAAAACTGAAAGTTGCTGATGGCTTGCGCCATCTATCGGAATAAATATCAACTATTCATTGATTTTTTAAATTATTCCAGAATTGGCCAATTACCCATTCTTGATTAATCAAGAAAAGCTAATCACATACGCGTTTCGGGATATTTAGCCAATATGGAATAATTAAAAATCAATGAATAGTTGATATTTATTCCGATAGATGGCGCAAGCTATCAGCAACTTATAGTTTCCCGATAAAGAGATGCCTTTTTTTTTTTTTAATTTATGAATCTTATCTCAGTGCAATGTCACATTTGTACTATTTTTTTCACATAATACACAAAGACTTTATACATAACGGCGAATAATATTATTACGGCGAATACATAATATTACAATTACTTTATACATAATACAAAGACACTATACATAACGGCGAATATATAATAATTCATAATACAATTACTTTATACATAATACAAAGACTTTATACATAACGGCGAATAATATTATTATTGCGAATATATAATAATACATAATACAATTACTTTATACATAAAGCAATGACATTATACATAACGGCGAATAATATTGGTATTTAATTTTTTTGGCAAGTGTTTACGAACTTTTGTAATAACCTTGTATCATTTTAAAACAAGAGATTCGGTTGAAGAATGATCTAAATTATTGATTTTCGATCGCTACGACCCGGGTAATATACAAATATTGAAATTTAAAATATTCTCATAGAATAATAAATAATCTAATTAAATAAACTGGCCGAAGTATCTTTTAATAATAAGAACTATGATTGCTAGCCAAGGCAACCTCTATCTTTACGATGACACTTTCAGTTTAGTAGGATGGTGTATGGATTACGTAGTTCCCCTGAACACTATTGATGACCGCTGGGGTTTCAAACAGGTTATCAAGGAGGACTTAATAAGCTCCAGGACCAAAGTCAACATGGAAGTGGCACCTGCAAACAATGGCTCCGGCTTTAATTAGCGACTCCACCATCTCAGCCTCTCTCTCTGGGAGATTAACAAAAATAACCTGAAGATTACTTAAGAAATTACAATTATGAAGGTTCGTTAATTGAATTAGATGTTGATGCATCCAGTCAATATATATAGCGAGCATATGGAAGCATAGTATGGATTTGTTTTAAGTCGTGTTGTCACATTTATGTTAGAACTTCAGCATCATGACAATTCGGAATATATATATGTTAAATAAAAATGAATAGAGATTTTCTGCTTGATTTTTGATCATGTTGAGGATTATGGTAATGCAGTCGTGGTTAAATTCTTGAAAGAATAACAATAAAAATAGTCTTGATCAGATATTGCTTTAGTTGAACCCATGGAATATATATTAAAAAAAAACAATTTGATAAAAGTAATGCCTGGCTTAAGGCGAGTAGAATAAGGAAAACAAAAGATTATTTACATAATGTACAAAAGTTTTGAGCCGGCCAACGGGGAAGAACAACAATGATTATTTATAGGGGAAGCATGACCTCTGGCGGTCGATTTAGCAGAATATTTGGAACTATGAAATATAATTTTAAATAGAATAATATTTTAATATAACATATATATATATGTAATAATGTTGAAGTTTGGTTGTTGTCGACTTGTAGAATATCCTGTCGACTAATGTAATAGGATGAGAATTCCAGTAGCCTTTGTAGAGATCCTGTCGGCTCATGTAATGAGAGATGTCCTGTCGACTACTGAAATAAAAGTTGAAGTCCTGGTAGCTCTTGTTGTACTGTGTTGACCGAGAGGAACAGTCAGGATGTAGAGTTTTCCAGTACCTCTCTGCACCTTGGAAGACCTTTAAAAGTTCTCACAAAATACAGGCAGTCGTGGTCGAGGCAGAGTGGAAAGCTGGGGATATCCATACACAAAAAACGAAAACACAGTTGCACTAAGAAAGTTCCGTTAACAGATAAAAATTGAGCTAGAAGCGCAAGATGGAGATAGAAGAGTCCTTACAAGTCTACATGGTGAATGAGGAGGACCTTGGTGACAACCGACGTGAGCTTGCGTCGAGGGTGAACTAAACTGAACTGAACTGAACTCTCAAGTCCCTGTAAAAGTGATGTATTTATAGGTTAAAAGACGGGGGGGGGACCTTATGTGACAGGGGCGTTTGAGAAAGGGCGCCTTTACCTGTCCAGGTGTGAGAGGGGTCTCTGCATTCCACCACATGTGACAGTGTGGGTGGCCTTGTTTGTGGGAATTGTGAATCTACCTGATTTATGACTTCCATCTTTAGACTCTGTTGTTTTGGCAATACTATATGTTCGATCTCTGCCCTAGCTCAACTCTTAAATCTATTACAGATTTTATTTATTTATCCACATTGTACAAAGTACATTACATATGGCGATGCAATGACACAGATTAATCATGCGCATAATTATTTATAGATGTGTTTCTATATACAACATGACAATCTTATTATAAGTTATCTACACAATATGAGGTTGTTGGTTTAAATTACCATAGATGAGCCCCGGGAGTGAAAGGGTTTATCCGGGTTTAGGCGGGTAAAGCCTCTCTAACACAGGTAAGTAATTAAAATTTCTTTTAATTAATTTAAACTGTGAGGGTTAAAAAGGGCTATAACAAGATGATATTTGTTGGATATATAAAAGTGAAATAAAAATGACATTTTGTGTGATTAACAAAAAAGATGATTAAAATAAAATGATGTTCTAAGAGATTGTTGGCGGGCGTTGGAAAGGGTTAGGAATTAAAGAATAAGCAATTGTGAGATTTACACATGCAATCAAATACTTAGGTCCAGGTGCAAAGCGAGGATATTGACTTGAGCGTCTTCCTAGGCAATGCTTCACTTGCGATCCTATATAAGGGTTACAGTGCTTTGTCACAATTTTAGGATTATTGGGTTAAAAGTTGCTGAAGAAAAGTTGTTTATCTATATGATTGGGAAAGGAGTGAAATAGAGCCATGCGATAAGTAGAATTGTAGCGACAGTAGGTGATCTGACTTGACTCGAAATCAAAGGTTGAATGTGGTCCGCTAGAGCTGAAAAAAAAAGTTGAAAGTTGAAAAAAGTGAACGCTTTGTGTATGCGTTGGTGATTTGCTCTGCGGATGAAATGAAATAAACTCTTGAAGCGTGTTCAAGACCAGAAGTTTGGATTTGTAAGTCTGGGGAACTGTTTTCTCAAATAGTTTGTTGAATTACGAAATCAAAAAATAAATTGTCAAGCAGTGCTGTCGTTTTTCTACGTTGATGTGACGCAATGACTGAAAAGATAGTGATGAAAAATATAGGGAATTGGTTAAAGAATATGATTGTTGAAAACGATTGTTGTAGATGCCCGATAGTGTATGATAAACTTTGTCAGATAATAAAGGTATTTAAACAAATAAAATATAGTGAATAGAAATATAGAAATATGATTGCGGGTACAAAAAGTGTAAGTGGACAAAATTAAACCTGTAATATATAAAATATATAATAAATAATAAAATAAAAATAATTTTTGAAACA